TTGGAGGTGTGTCCCATATTTAAATTAATGAAGCTCTAAGTTAAAGTTCCTATGACAGAGCTAATTTCTCTTTGGCAACTAATCTTGAAAAACCTCTCATTTTTAAAGGGCAGTTTTACAATGACAGTTTAAAATATTACTGCAGACTCCCCAAAATTATCTCTATAAAATACCCTCCCCCCAACTTAACATAGAAATCATACCAACAGCTGTTGTTCCTGGTATACAGGCCATGCAGAATACACCAACATAGGAAGCAACTTTCATGAACCTGTGTTCAGGGAAACAGGCTTATATGGACATCACACTTTTTAAGAAAATGGCATCAGGCAGAAAAGGAAGTGGGGTACAAATGATCCAAAGGCTATGGGAAACTGACAGCAGAAAAGTGACAATATTTTGGCATCCTTTTATCAGGAGTCCCAGGAGGCTGAAAGGAATGTGGGTGAATGAGATAAACACAGATTTTAGGCTAACAGGTCCCTCCCATCATTTCCTGCACAATCTTGAGAATGCCAGGTTTTTGGAGACATAATACAGTATGCAATCTGGTTAGAGATTTTTTTTTAAATTTCTTTAATTTTTATTTCTGATGAGGTCTTAGCCTGTGGCCATTTAGTAATGTGTTCTTTTCAAAGGTTTCAGGTCGAGCCCAAGTTCGAGATACCTGAAAATACTATCATCTCTTGGGTGCCTGCAGATGTTACCAACAGTTACTTATGATGGTTTATGTTCTTTAATATAATTTTCTCCATGAAAGCCAGCACCAGGTATGCTCCCTCTTAGTATATATTAGAAGAGTTTCAAAGGCATAGAGTGGGCAAGAGGACAGGCCTCCTCAGCATTTACTGGGCGCCCCCTAGGGGAGAGTAGAGGACCCTGCACACAGAGGCAAATCAGAGGACTCTCTTCTGGATTATGACTAAAGAACTAAAATGTGGCCACAGTGTGAACCAGTGCTCATTACTATTAGGTAATTTGAGAATGGCATACTTTAATTTTACCAAGAAAAACCTAAATTGACTCTGGGGACAACAATATCTTCATTAAAAACATCCTGCTGCATTTTGCATGATTTTAAGAACTCTATTATTATTGACAGTCTTCTTCCATGAATAGAATGCTAGACAGCAAATGCAATAACTAGAGCTAACTGCGTTTTCTTTCCATACAAGTTATGTAGAGACTGAAAGTGCCATGTTATCACTTCATCATCAGGCTGCCTTTGATCTGATTTTTTCTTATTTGAATGTTAGAAACATTTCAGGGCTATTATTATTTATCAACAAAGCCAGAGACAAAGGAAAAAAAAAAGTAAGCTAATTGGAATCTTAAGAACTCAAATAGCACATGAAATGTAAACATATAACTTTCCCCCCCCAACGGATTTCTTGAACCTCTCTGGACATAATGACATCATCACATACACTGATAAACAGAACCTTTTAATACCTTTGGATTTATTCTGTATACTTTTTATACTTCAAATTAAGAAAAATACTCAAATATTCAGGCAACTTTGGTATTAACATTTCCAAGAAAGAGATAAAAGTAACTATCAATAAAAAAATCACAAATAGATTGGGAACCATCACAGGTGTCCATCACATTCTTTTATGAAGAGCTCTTGCAAAGACTCAAGTATGTTGAAATAAAATCTCATTTTTTAAAAAATTTCTATCTAAAGTGAAAGTATTCAATTTTCTCAAATCCAAGCTCTGATATATGGAAAGTGTGGCAATAGAACTGGACATTTGAGGTTCAATCACTATTTGGCTAATAGGTCCTTATTTCACAAGAGTAACTTCTCTCACCCAACTGCTTGCTTTCTTTAGAGAACCAGCCTTCCTCCCCAGTTTACCTTCATCAGGTGTGATTCATTATCTCTTGGTACCTCAGAACACCATTATCTAGCAACCTAGCAGGAGTTAGATTTCACTGTAATAAAATCTTGGAGTGAATCAGCAATCATGCGCAGTTTTTTCCAATAGAGTTCAATAACCCAAAATACTGATAGTTATTCCCTTATTCTCAACACTCATAGGACTCAGTTTAGGAATGAGAACTGTATTTGGCATATCTGCTGACTGTAGGCCTTCTATCATCTAGATTCTGCAATATTTAGCTCTGAGGCCGAGAGACTGAAGAGATTCGACGACTCTCAGCTGTGTGTGTGGCATGAACAGGAAGTTGAGAGGCAGGAAGTTTCGTTTTGTATAAAGTGAATAGTTTTTATGAAAAGAATATGGATAAGGATGAATTAGTGATATTTTGGTTTTATCACATTTTTTTACACATACATATACATACATAGATCACACATTGATACCATTTATTGACCCAAGGCCAAAATTCTACTCAATTTTCTACTTTTTCCCCCACTAAGAGACCTAGAAGAGCTATATAACATTAGAGAATAAAGTATATTTTTTCTAGAGTCCTTCCTACTTATCCTTAGTAACCTGGAAAAGTTTGAATGTGACCAGGAGGAAGGAGATATCAACATTGGCTAAGTTAATTAATGGAAATAACACTCTCACTAACCTACAGTTGAGTTTACAGTATACACTTCCAGAACTATGGCCTGGCACAAGTAGAGGATATTTTTCTCTCTCAGTCTTATCTTATCTCATGGGAGAGCAGTACACATAGGTATATTATTCTTCAAAAGGCCTACAAACACCATTTTGATTAGTCAAAAAGAACTCTTTGCCCTAATAAGTAAAATGAAATGAAAATCTGTAGATCTATTAAGGACTTGGTTAAACTGATGCCATCAGTTAGAGAGGCTCGAAGTATTCCCAGTCCTCCTTCTAAATGACTTTGGGAAAAACAAAAGATTGTTTAGGTTTGTCTTTGCTAAGGATAGACTCAATTTACTTTAGTGTAAAAAGCAACTCTTCCTTAATAATGTGTAAGTTGATCTTTTGAAAGTGTTCTTTTGTGCTCAAGAGTGTCAGATATCCCCAATTTAAACACACTATGGCTCTCTGGTTTATTTCACCCATGGAGAGAAGAGTACAATCCACTTCTCTTAAAATATTAAGAGAAGAGTACAATCCACTCTTCTCTTAATATTTTAGTTTTTAAGAACATAAATTTTCACTTCAAAAATTTTCAGGCCTAACATGCTTGCTGTTACTTTTTATTTATCTGCATCTTAGCAGATGTTCAGAAGTACTTTTGACATTTTATATTGGTCTTACAAAATCAAACCATCCCCAAATTACACTCCTAAGCATGTCCTTGTTTTGTGAACAATAAGGTTTTACATGAGGAATCAGTTGCATGGTGTCTTAATGAACAGGCAGACATACTTTCAAGTCTCTGCAGTTATTGCTATGGACCAAACAAGAAACATACTAATTTGTAACAAGGCGGGGAAAGATTTAATATTACAGTGTTTATGAGCATTCTTTTAACTATGGATCATGAATTGTGAGCACAAAGCTTTACTTGCTTATTTATTCCCCACTCCCTCCCCCAGAAATTTAACTGAATGTGAATGGCTCTGAGCAGTGCATGCACTCACTAGTGTTTTGCTGTTGTCTGCACTATGCCTGATTCACACATTTATGTCATTGCATGTGCTTTTCAACTCTCATTTTACATGATGGTCTTTTTTATTTATAAAGCAGATATTTATGAGACTTTCTTATTCCCTTACTAAAAGTTGGGAAAAAGGAGATAAAATCTTTGGTTTGTGTGTATGGTTTTCTTATCTATGCATAAATAACACTGCCATGTGGGACACTATGGATACCTATTTGTCAGTAGTTCTTCTCATTGCCAATATCGTCATTCTCCAGTCGAATTTTGTTTTTCTGGCAATGGTTTCATTTGAGTAAAAATGCCTGTAATGTGAACAAATCTTCAAAGAAGCAAATGGAAGTGCAATGCTCCTCTAATCTTTCGGAGTTATGTTAGGGAGAAAAGATGAAGGGTGATTGGCGCTATTTTGCTCAGAAAAATAAAACTTCAAATTCAAATCCTAGATATGGCACTTTCTTTGAAAGCAGATGCAATAAAGTGCTTTGCACCAGAGGTGACCTTTGCCAACTATTCTCTTTTTTTCTGTCCCCAGATATACTTGATTTCTCTTTTTTCATGCCATGACACAGGGGCAATGGTAGAATCTGGTTGTGATCAGCTACTCTCTCCTTGCTATTCTCAGATTACAAGACTCATTCCAGAGAGTGAGAGTGGTTTCTCTGTGACTGTGACCTTCAGCAATGTCGTCCTCCAGAGCCAGGGCTCTGACCTCATAACAGAATAAAAAGATCTCTGTAATCTACAAGGTGAGTCTCCAACTAGCTACCACACTCACTGAAGAAATCTTGGCTGTGCACACAAGAGATGAAGTCTATTCCAAAGCTATCTAATACAAAACAAATTTTAAAAGGCCTTCCAATGACGATGCTCTTTCATTTAAACTGCTAAATGAGCAGGAAGAATGACAACAAAAGCCCTGTCCTGTTTACACTATATGCTGGGGGAATGGTCACTACGACCGGGCACTGACACAAAGAAAGCAAACCTATGTGGAGCGGTAGGGGAATGTTGCGCGGGGTTTTGCTTGGCCTAAGACAAGCTAAGCGGGTGCTCCTAGCAAACAAGGCTGCGGCAGTAGGAAAGGGTTGAAGCAGATGGAGCATCTTCTTCACTGTCATGAGCCCAAGGGAGTAAAAGGAAAAAAGAAACCTCCTTCTGTCCACAGATTTATAAACAAATACAAAAAATAAATAATATTCTAACACAATACAAATGCAAACACTGTTCCCTTGTGTCAATTACAAATACAGCATGCCTACATATAGAGAATGGTAATTCTTCTTCATTCACAGACGGGACATATGGCAGTGCACTAGTCAAAATGCTTGGATAATCCTAATTTTTTGTTTCTGGTGCTGAGATATTATGAAAGGAACTGCATTTGCAACTTATTAAATACTTCCAGGAACAAATAGTTCACTTCGTTCCAGATTTGTAGTTTTGAGTAATTAATCATCCATGGAGCAAGGGCCGGTCAGGAGATACCCGTTGGTACCGCTGGTTCCATTGGTGGTGGTTGCAGCGTGGGGTTTCTTCCTTGGAGTTTCTTTTGAGTCCTCCTCATCTGAGCTAGATTCAATATCACTTCGGTCATCCTTGGATACCTGTGGGATACAAGAAGGTGAGTGTAAACAGCTCCAAAGGAATCATTAAAGTATGGCATGCTCAGAAGCACATGCAATCATTAAACCCGAGGAAAACAGATCCAAATGTTAAAAAATCCAAGGGGATAAAAACTTTGTCATAGTAATGAGCTACCTTCTACTGGAGATACACAAGTTGAGTGACAAAGTTATCAAGGATTGCAGGTGTTTTTCCCTATCACAACGGGCTCTTTAAGGTACCTTTCTATTTTGAGAATGTACTAGACCCAAGTCCCACTTTCACCAGTAAAGTGGCCTAATGCACTACTGGAATGGCATTGTAGAAATATGGTACAAATGAGTCAGTTTATACTTTGAATCCCATCACCCTTGGGAATCATTTAAAGTCAGTTCTCAATTACTACACTAATAGATATATTCTATTAATTCAGATAATCAAATCATCATTTTCTTTGGCTTTGCAATGAATTGTTTCATTATTTAATTTCTTTTCTGTTTGCTAGAATGAAGTAGAAATTTTGTTTTATATGCTAGAGGCCCGGTGGATGAAATTCATGCATGGGGGGTTGGGGGAGAGGGCGCAGGTGTGTCCCTCAGCCTAGCCTGCACTCTCTCCAATCAGGAACCCCTCGAGGGATGTTCAACTATCCAGGACTGTTGGCTCCCAACTGCGTGCCTGCCCACCTTCCTGATTGTCCCTAATTGCTTCTGCCTGCCAGCCTGATCACCCCCTAACCACTCCCCTGACAGTCTGATTGGTGCCTAACTGCTCCCCTGCCAGCCTAATTGCCCCTAACTGCCCTCTTCTGCTGGCCTGATTGCCCACAACTGCCCTCCCCTGCCGGCCTGATTGTCCACAACTGCCTTCCCTTACAGGCTTGGCCCCTCCCACTGGCCATTTTGTGGCAACCATCTTGTGTCCACATGGGAACAGCCATCTTTTGTGTTGGAGTGGCAGTAAATTTGCATATTACTCTTTTATTAGATAAGAGGCCTGGTGCACGGGTGGTGGCCAGCTGGTATGCCCTGAAAGGTATCCCAGATCAGGGTGGGGGTTCCCTTGGGGCGTGGGGTGGCCTGTGCAAGGGGCCTATGATGGTTTGCAGGCTGGCCATGTCCCCTGGTGTCTGAAGTGAAGGCCCTGGTCTCTGGAATTTATTTATCTTCTATAATTGAAACTTTGTAGCCTTTAGCGGAGGCCAGGGCCAGCCAGAGCGGGCGGGAGCTTGGCTTCCTCCATTGCTGGGGAAACCCAAACCTCTGTGGCAGAAGCCATCTTGGTTGAATTAATTTGCATACTTGCTCCTGATTGGCTGGTGGGAATGGATTGTGGGCATAGCGGAGGTACGGTCAATTTGCAGTTTCTTTTTTATTAGTGTAGATAATACATAATGGCAGTAGGATGCATTTTGAGAACTTGGGGGTGAAGTTTAGTTTTAAATATTTCCCAAAGAAAATTGACTGAGTGAATCAGCATGAACTAGTTCCCATTATTCCAGGGCTTTTCAATCATTAGGTAATGAGAATGGTCATATAAAAACCAGATATAAATCTACACATTACCGTAAAGAATGAAAAAAAATATATCAGACTGTCTAGCAAGGACTTAATTTAGGGAGAAATTAAGGAAATACTCTACTTCTTTTAATATTAAAATAGTTTGAACTTCCTACTCTGTAAGTCTAAATTATGGTAAGCATTTTACATTAAAGGCCTTAAGACCTTTGAGTAAGAAATAGCACCATTTACTTACTTTCTAAGTGGAGTGGCAATAAGGACTTGGGTGTCTGGCTTCATAGAAATTTCCCTAGTCTAGTCACCTGTGATTCTCTAGGATCTGAATTGGAGAGGTTGGCAAGGTCTCCTGGGAAGTATATCAGAATTAACTGGGGGACTTTTCACATCATATCCTTTGCATCACCATAACTCCCCAATTCGAGAACCCTTAATATACAAGTGGGTGACATAGTGAGTTATCAAGGAATGTAGATGAATTTCTATGTCACAGTGGCCTCTTTAAGGTACCTTTCTATTTTGAGAATGTACTAGACCAGGAGTGCCCCTCCAACTGGAGGGCCACTGGTACTGAGAGAACATCACCTCTCTTAGTGGGAGGGGGATCAGAAATGACTGAGTAAACAGCGTAAAAATGGACCATACTCCAATGCCCCTTGAGATGAGGCTAACCTCACAAGGACCATCTCCAAGAAGTTTAAGATACCGAAACATCAAAACAACTAGATTATAAGGATACTTTAACTTAAAGAAGCACGGGTCACAGAGACGGCACTACTACGTTTAGAAATCCATTAGCCATAAATTAAACTGCTAATAGGAAAGAAAACTCTAGTTTCAGAGAGTGATTAATTTATACTTGCATGATTAGTAAGATTGTTTTTAATTGCATTTGGGGGGAAAATCTATAGTTATGTTGCCATCAAAGAAAGGAACAATTTAGAATGTCTCAAAATAAACCACAAATAAATGAGTCCATAACCTATGGCCATGAATCATACTGTCCCAGGTGAGCAGTGATGGCAATTAAAATATTATGAAGCCTGAGCTCTGGAATAAAATTAATGACTGTCTCTTCATAAAGTTGAGGGATAAGCTGGAGAGAAGACAACATATCTGGTGGAAACAGCAACGCAGTGAGGACATAAGTGATCTAGTCCACAGCATTCTTATATCTTCACTTAATGTTATCCTATTGACAGCATTGTGTATGTGGAATTAATTTGTATCCAAATAAGAAGAGAGCATTTTTTAAAAACAGAAATACATACTTACTTTAAAGAATAAGAGGTCACAGAGGGGGACAAAACACTTTCACTTCTAAATAATGTATTGATAAAAATATTTTGGATTTCGATAGTAAGAGCTGACATTGACACCTGGCTTCATAGCACATGACCAAGTGTCCTGAATCCCTCTGTGGAAGGGTCAGCTCTGTCTTCCTCACTGAGGACAACATGGTTAGTTGAGTGCTCTCTGGTCTAGGGCAGAGCAGGCAAAAGAGCTAATACTCAGTACTCCACGCGGGACTGTGTTTCCTCTCCCCAATGTAGGTCTCTTTCTCCTACTTCACTTTAGGTCTATTTCTGCTTTTTAGCCAACATGTAAATCACTAATGAAAAAAAATCTCCTCTTTCTCTGCGGGATCATGCAAAGTTTAGCAGAATGCAAGCTCATACACAAGGGCATTAACCGAGCCGTTCCCAGTGTCCCTTCACAGCTGGTGGGAGCCATACTCAGTTAGAGCCTCCAGCCAGTGCCAACAGACTAGATGGAACAATATGCATGGAAACAAAAGCATCTGAGTGCCCCTCCAACAGGCAGGCTGATGTGGCACCCAGGACAAGAACAGAGAGGGACTTGTGAGACACTTACATGTAAAGGGTTCCACTTCCCAGCCTTCCAGGGTGGCAGAAGGAAGAGAACAAACAACGAAAATAAGAAAATGTCATAGAGTACATTCTAGAAAAGTCACTGCTCTACATAGAGGGGTTGAAGTTCAAGAAACTTCATTCAAATCAGCCTCATGAGTCCATTTTTTAACCAAAGAGATTCAACTAAGTTTCATTGGAAAAGGCATAAGTGGGCATACTGCATCAAGCAACCTTTCTCAGAAAAATAAAGAAGTTGTTCAATTTCTGTTCAGCATAAGTACAACCAGAAAAGGGCCAGGGAGACAGAGAGAGGGAGAGAAAGAATACAACAAGTAATATTATCATGAAATTTAAAATTATAAATGCAGAACACTGAGAATCATCTTCAGTACAGCAATGCTACAACTCAAAAAATGAACTAAACAGAAGACAATAAATGAAAATTTAGCTTGTGTTTCTAGGAGGTTATGCTAAATTTTGGGGGAAAAATCAATTTTGAGGACATTTGAAATAATAAATAATGTTCTCATTGATTCAGAGCAACCAAGAAATGTAATTATCTGGAACATATTAGAAATGGTGAATTTTACTTACCTTCCCCCTTGAAATAGCTTTGCAAGCTATTTTTATGATCAAGTAAGACCAGAAGCAGTTCAAGCCTTGTATCAGCAACAGCAGTAGGTTAAAAACCCACCAGGAAGGATAAGGTCCAACAATCTCCCAACTTTCAAATAGCGTGGAATTTAACACCCTAAGGAAAAGAGAAAGATATCATTGAACACAACTTTTCACTTTGCCTTCAAAGAAATTCTAATACCTGCACAGAAGCAGCAAGTCAACAATATCCACTAACCACTCCTTGCCTGCAAAGCTGACCAAGTATTTCAAAGAGTCATCACCTGAACTATTCCCCTGGTGGCAAACATTCCCTTTGATTCCAGTATGTATGGTGTGCTTATGCTCCTCCTTTTACTTTTGTCATAACTTCTTCCATGAATTTCCATTAAGGTTTTAGTTGTAATTCTATCTTTACTTTTGGTCTTCAAGTAAGTGAGGAATACTATTCAATAACATTGCTGCACTAAAAAAGAGTAAATTAATTCCCAAAACATTAGCTACATTTAAATCACATGCATAGTACAGTGGGAGCTAGGATATACTTACGATCTAAATCCTGTCCTCAAGTGGTTTATATTCTAGTAGGAAAGCCCCTAGAGGGTTCTTAATTTTGCCAGCTTTCCCTGGGAAAGATTTTACAATTAAAATATATCATTTTGAAGTGATGTCCTGAGATGAGTATTGGAAGGATGTTAAAAGATTACTGGAATATAATGAATGTACTTAGTTTTAAAAGCATGTACTCAAGGTAGGCAAAATGGGGCAGCCACCTGGACAGGTGCATGAGAGCTGGTTTCAGGGTTTGGCTCTCATCCCTGCTGTGTCTGGTCCCAAGACTTTGGAAGTTGACTCCTGCCTTCTGGACTCAGAGAAGAACATAACCACCGAATTTTGGTATCCCTCTTCCTTGCTTTTCTCCTTCGTTAACTGCAGGGCTGATTTGGCAATCTAACAGTGTTGATACTACTCATCTAAGTGTATTTCCCTACCTGCCATTGCAGTGCTTTGCTGGGATCTTACAGGAGAGGTTAGGTGGACCACACTTAGTGGCTAAGGGGGAGGGATTGAAAAACTCTTGACTATCAGACACAAACCACTCATACAAGAACAGAAGGCAGATATACAGAGAATTTTCATAAGAGAAAGAGTATAATGAGTGCTTTAAGAGGTTAAGAAAAGTACTTTATGAATCCACAAAATAACCCCCCCCCCCACTTATTGCAGTTGGGATAAGATAGATGTAAAGAAAAAAGAAGAATAAATAATAGGCATAAATAGATTATCTGTCCCCAGTTTCAGCAACCTGCCTGTACAGGCCAGAATAAGAACAGAGTGTCTCTCTAAATAACCCCGCCACACCATATGTCTCTCAAGAACAATAAACATGGATATTAAAATCCTAAAATAACAGCATGGAATTGACTTTGACAATTCATTGAAAGTTTATTACTCTATGCTACAGTAGTATCCATTCTGGTAGAGGGGGACCAACATTAGGAAATCTAACATAATGCATCATATATCCATAAACCAAACTGGTAGAGACCTAATCATTTCAATAGCAGTGAAAGACATATGGCAATGTTCAATTCTACATTATTGATATTTGAAACTTAGGACTCAAAGGACTTACTCAATATGACTTTTAAGCAACTCAAATCAGCAGCTGTCATCATATTTAAGAAACATCATTTTTTTTTTTTGCCTTTACAATCAGGAACAAACCACAAATAGCAACATCACCATTATGATTTGACATTATTTTGGAAGTTCTGGCCAGCGAGTATGGTAGAAAGTCAAAGACTTCATTTCAAATATGTAGATGTTAAATCTTTGTAACTATTTTAAAAATAGCAAACAATCAAAATTTCCAATATCAGGAAACGGTAAAAAATTAGTTTCCATTCTAAATATAGAAATTATGAAATCATGTTAAGAGTTTCTAATTATAGAGGCAGATATATATCATCAACTCTATGAAATATACACGCACATATACACACAAAAGAGGGAATAATGCTTCCCTGAAAGGAATTAGTCAAAACCATTATAGACTTTCTTTGATGAATTAGATTATGTATATTTTCCTCTTTACACTCTTCTATTTTCCAAATCCATACCAAATAATTAGAAAAAAATACAAAGTTATTTGTAAAAAGTAATGTCAGGATAATGCCTATATTCTTGCCTTGTTTATTATAACAGTAATTGTACTTCAGAACTACCTCTGCTTCTTGACATACTATTCATTTGGACATCAGAGAGAAATTAGCTTAATTTGAACAGAAAGAGGTCCTGTTGAAATAGCAACAAAGAGCGTTATGCTCTTTATTCTGGATCAGCCTTTGCTGGATTATAGCTTGAGCACCTTCCTCACCATAATGATCTGCTTGATTTAATTGGAACAGGGTGTCATGCAGTCACCAGTGACACGGCACCACATTAATTTCTGCAATGCTGCATCAGAATGCATGGGCTTTGCCATGACAATCTGTGGTGCCTCTGAGAGGCAGCTCAAAAGTAATGGGATTTCTTTGAAAATTGAGTTGGCTGCCTGCAGAGACACTTGGGAAAATTTAATCAGTGCGCTGATGGATGTATCTCTTAGTGAGAAGCTTGGGGAGAAAAACAATATATTAGGAATTGAGACTTGGAAAGAGAGATCATTATGTCACTGGACTCTGAAATGAACCCAGGAAATAGGGTCTTTTTGAAAAGCCACAGAATGTTATGGATATTGCTGTATCCCCTCCCCCCCCCCTTTTTTTTTTTTGCAAAATATTAAAATAGAATTTTGTGGGGGGTTTTTTTGGAAAAATATTAAGATAGAATTTTGTCCTTTCTCAGAGGTTAGGATTAGGAGTATGTACCTTAATGATGCAATTGCAAAACTGAGTTCTGAATAGTGGTTATTCTGAGGGGGGGGGGAGCCATGAGGGAGACTATGGGGTGTTGGAAATATCCTAGAGCTTGATCCGGGTGGTGATTACATGGAGTATACAAAATACACATTTAAAAAGATAAAAAGGTAGCAGGCTGCACACTGAAGATCTGTTCACTACACTGTATACTGAATTAAGCCTCAATAAAATGAAATGGAAACAAGTGCTCTGTGGGCCAAACACTACCAGCTTGCAATTTCTGGTTTGCTTAATTACTCTATCAGTGTCCTTCCCCCAATACCCTGGGATCAACATGGCTCCTAAGAAAACAGACCCCACCAAAAAGTTAGCTTATAGCATCAACCCTCCTATAGCTGCTCCAGTAGAGTGGTGGAGACCTTAGAGATATAGACACCAGAAAGGACCATTTTCCTTTTCCTGAGTGCTGGGCTCACTTAACCACTAGATGGCACACCACCCATGTACAAGGAATGTTCCAATAGGTCTGTTCTGCCTTCTGCCACTGTGGGTCCCGCACAGAAATCACTTGATCTTCAGGTTACACCTTGCCTTCTAAGAATTCTAACAATGGAATGAAAGGCTCTAGTCCACACATCTTTCTTCCTGCAGGATTCTAGAAAGAAATAGATGCCTGCAGGGCAAATGCATGAGCTCCATGCATTTCACTGGTGACCTGCAAATGCCATGGTTACCACCCACAAGGGCTGAGCCTTGATGGGTTATTTTAATGGATGTTTAATGAATCAAAAGAATTTAATCTGATTATCCCCTATAGTTATTTTCTTTCATGCTTACATTTTAAGGATGCTTCTTCTTAAATTTGATGATCACAGAATTATTATACAGGCTATACAAGGCAGGGGAGGGAGAAATGCAGGCATTCATGCAGAAAGGTTTACAACATTTCTTAAAGCAAAAGCCCCACAGTCTCATTTTAAGATGATATTTAAGGCCTTACTCATTCACATTCTAAGCATCCATGTGACATCTGTTTTCCCTGTAAGCCCCAGGGTTTAGAAAGTCTCATAGTATCATACAGCTCGGTGCAAAAAGCTCTTCAACGGTATCTGATTCAGAAAGCTACAACCAGTGCTTAATTTCTTCATCCTTAACATGACTATCCACTCAAAGTTCAACCTGATTATATTTACTATGTAAAGTTAGATAAACAATCTCACTTTCAGTGGATATTTATCATAAGACCATGGCCCATAGCAAACACAAACTTGGCCTGTGCCCCTTCTCCCCGCTACCACCACCAAAGACCTCTCTCTGAGCCTTGGGTTGTGTATTTCCGGAATAATCTATATAAAAACCACAGCAATAATGAGATTCATATCAAGTACCCAAAGAGAGTCAAGAGTTAGGGTCAGGAGAAACAAAGATGGTGGCATAAGGTAAACACCTATACTGTTGCCTTCCACAACAATTTTAAAATTGCAACTGGAAGATAGAGCAGACATTGTCCAGAACCATCAGAAAGCTGGCTGAGTGGAAATTTTACAACTAGAAGGAAAGAGAAAAGGATACTGAGACTCAGGAGCTGTGGAGGTGTGGAGACCAGTACGTGTGGAGAAGGCGGGCAGCAAATGCACAGCTAGCTTTCTCATTTGGGAGAAAAAACCTCCCGATTGCACTGAAATCCAGCTTTGGGTGAGACATTGGGTACCAGACTCATTCGGGGAGAAATTGGACTGTTTGGCAGCAGGCGAAACTCGAGAGCAGCGTGCAGCCATTGCTGTGGGGCACTGAGAACAGGACCCTCTTAGGGTGGGTCTGATGGGAAACCAAGGCTATCTGCTCCACCCTGAGACTCCACCCCATCCAAGCTGAGCACAGAAGCCCTCCCAGTGGAGACACTGCTGATCCTCACAGCCAATTGGCCTGGAGGTCAGCTCCCCCAAGTGATACCAACAACAATCAAGGTTTAACTACAACAAGACTGCACACATAGTCCACAAGGGGGTACACTAGGAGTGTCCACCACAGATAACTGGGGAGGCTGAGCTACTGGGCCCTGCTAGGACACCTAGCACACAAAGCAACTCCAACAACTCAGGGAAGCAGCTAAAATGCGAAGACAAAGAGGCAGGCCATAATTGAAGAAAATTTAGGAAAGCAAAAGGCTGGATATAGAGTTCAAAACCACAGTTATAAGGTTTTTTAAGAATTTCCTAGAAAAGGCCGATAAATTTAATGAGACCCTTGAGGATATGAAAAAGGATCAACA